TACTCATTAAAAAATCTGAAGTAGGATCTTAAAAGATTTCAGAGATTGCTGTGAGGGTACAATGAAAAGCTGATCTCTTACGTAATGGACTCTTTAGTTGTCGATTTTGACGCTGCTGTTTCAATCTCGATAAATTTTCTGCGTCAGTTTCTTGACACCTAAGTAAAATTGTATTTATTAGATACACTTGCTTGCGATTTTTGTTAAGTTCTAATATATTTGTTGGCAAGGTAGTTTGACGTCCAATGGCCCTAAAAAAGACCGGTAAGCTTTTTAAATTAACTCTTTCTTGACTGCAGTTAACAGCAATTGTGACTGCCTGGATTCCTCAGGGTGATCTTCTCTGACCTGCTGTTGAAAACCCAGACTGATCGGGAGAAAAACTACAAAGTCCGAAGCTTTTGGGCTAGTTGTAGTGCTCTTTTCCCACGTCTCCCGGTATAACGTCGAAGACGTTGGTGTCCAAAGCACCTTTTTTATTTGCAAATTCAGTTGTTTTGGTGATCTTAGATGGGGAGATTGGTTTGTGATACTTGTCCAGTGGAGGCTGTCCCGTTGGCTCAAGTTTTTTTTCCTTCATAGCTGTTACAGATTTGCCCAGCGCAAACCTTGGAGAGGATCAGTGATTTCTGGTTGGATGCTTAGAGTCAAGAGGGTAATATAGGGTCGTCGGTCACCGGGTTTTTCAGCCATGCGAAGAACAACTTCGCAGGTGACGTCTACTAGTGAGTGGCTGACTTGGTTTAATAGTGCCCGTATTTAGTTAATATAGTCTTTTAGTCGATGAATCGCTTCCGGAAATGGTAGTAAAAATTTATTAGTAAGCAAGGTAGTTTACACTTAGGTGGCCCCTAAAAAGAACCGATGAAATTGATGGTTAAGTAGGGAACGTAAATACTTATAATGGCCCTAAAAAGTGCCAGTGGTGAGACTTCTAGGCTATTCTTTATTATTATTCCTGATGATGAAGAGCTGGCTACGGGTAGCTTGATTCTTACCCTGGGAGTCTCTATGTACGGAGACTGTGATGGAGGGAGGTACGCCGCTGACCAAAGAATATCTCGTCTTTGGGTCGTTCCCCGAATAACCAACCGCTCATCGTTAGACGGAAACGTGTGGGTAAGCGCGTTGGGGATGCGACGACTAGGAAGGTAGCCGTTGTGGCTGCCCGTGCCCCTCAGAGCTGTCTTCCCTGGCTTACACTTGTAGCCAAAAATTCTCTAATTGCACCAGGTGGGATGGTAGGACTGCCACACAACTCTAAAGAGTTGGTGCAGATTGTGTTCTGGCTAGATATGTATCCTGGTATTGTGGCAGAGACGGCATCGGTTGGAATTAATTTTTTTTTTTTTTTGATCGCACTCGTCAAGATTCAGGGTGAATGGACACCTAGGTCCCTTCCCTCTTAGAGAAGAGTGTCGTCCGTAACCGGGATACCTAGCTACAAGACTATCATCAGCATTCACTATACAGCTCGTTGAACTGCCGTTGCTCGACTACATCACTGTCGAGACGCTCCGGCGTATTATAACCACACTTATTGATTATGTTGCAGGTAGCTTCGATTTTATGTCGATACCACCTAGCGGATTTTACTGAACTAAAGTGAAAAGCTGGCGTATTTTTGCAAAACTTTGAGCTCATTTATTGCTATTGTTATTAAATTTTTTAAGATAAGAACCATACTAAAACCATCTAGAAAGTATCATGAATTAGTGTGCAGAATTTCAGATAAATCTGTTCAGTAGTTTTCGCGGTTAGCGATAACAACGGTTTTAGCAACTTTGCTTTATACATTAGTAAGATATACAAATATATATATATAACCAAAATAGCTCTTTAAATTAAATCTCTATCTTACAGACAAAGGAAACAGCTGTCTGCACTACGCATCACGAGCTGAGTGCCAGGAAGCCACGGAGATGCTCTTGCGACGTGGTAGCTACATTGGCCATGTAAACAATTTTGGTGTGCCTCCACTAGCGCACATGTCAGCTGATATCCTTGAAAGTCGACTGAGTGAGTGTGTGACGTGCTCAGACGATCGCAGTGAGGAGTATGAGGTGAACTTGGATTACAAGAATCTAGTACCGCATGGGGTCCAGCTGCCTGGTGAAGATGAACTCTCTCGATATACTGAAAATCCTTTAGTGTATTGCAACGAGATGGATCCTCTACTCTACATTGCGGAACATAGGCACCTCAGGCGTCTACTGAAACATCCATTGCTTGCATCCTTTTTATATCTCAAGTTTCTCAGGATTAGATACCTACTATATGCTAACTTATTGATTTACGCCTTATTTTATGTTGTGCTCAACACTTATATATGGCTGCTGACCACTGACTCACTTATTACTAAAGGTATCATTTATTATATTTCTATAATGCTTTTTTATATGACCTCAATATATTGTTAATCCATGTAATTCTTGTNTATTTGAAAAACCTTTTTTTCAATTGAGGATATTTAATGAAACTTTACAGTTATCGTAAAGATAATATGATGAAGAGCTGGCTACGGGTAGCTTGATTCTTACCCTGGGAGTCTCTATGTACGGAGACTGTGATGGAGGGAGGTACGCCGCTGACCAAAGAATATCTCGTCTTTGGGTCGTTCCCCGAATAACCAACCGCTCATCGTTAGACGGAAACGTGTGGGTAAGCGCGTTGGGGATGCGACGACTAGGAAGGTAGCCGTTGTGGCTGCCCGTGCCCCTCAGAGCTGTCTTCCCTGGCTTACACTTGTAGCCAAAAATTCTCTAATTGCACCAGGTGGGATGGTAGGACTGCCACACAACTCTAAAGAGTTGGTGCAGATTGTGTTCTGGCTAGATATGTATCCTGGTATTGTGGCAGAGACGGCATCGGTTGGAATTAATTTTTTTTTTTTTTTTTTCGCACTCGTCAAGATTCAGGGTGAATGGACACCTAGGTCCCTTCCCTCTTAGAGAAGAGTGTCGTCCGTAACCGGGATACCTAGCTACAAGACTATCATCAGCATTCACTATACAGCTCGTTGAACTGCCGTTGCTCGACTACATCACTGTCGAGACGCTCCGGCGTATTATAACCACACTTATTGATTATGTTGCAGGTAGCTTCGATTTTATGTCGATACCACCTAGCGGATTTTACTGAACTAAAGTGAAAAGCTGGCGTATTTTTGCAAAACTTTGAGCTCATTTATTGCTATTGTTATTATATTTTTTAAGATAAAAACCATACTAAAATCGTCTATGAAGTGTCAAGAATCGGTATGCAAAATTTTAGCAAAATCGGTTCAGTAGTTTTCACGGTTAGCGATTACAATGGTTTTAGCAACTTTGCTTTATACAGAATGATATGTAACGGTGGTATTTCCCGAGAACCGCGTGTAGAGCGATTTTTTCTGACGCTAACCCCGTTGGAATTGATTTTTTAGGGCAAATAGCTTTTAAATAGGAGCCGATTGAAAATACGTTCCAAACTACCCCTAAATGGGGTTAGAAGGCTATAGCGCGCCCGCATAAACTCGCGACGTTGCCACATTAGTATTGGAGCTTAGTCGGTAAGCAGTGAGAACTTTATCCATGTGCGCACGGAAGAGCGTCAGCTACTGCTGGTAACTTGAAGGTTGGATGTAAAATTTTTTACCTTAAGGTAAATATTGTCTGCTCCTTATGTTGTCAGTTGTTTATCCACGCGCTTACTGTCTTTCTCACTCTCATGTTGGACAAAAACATCTTTAAATTTTTATACTTAAGTAATGTTACCTCGAATGAAAGTAAAATACCATATCAGTAGGGATTTTTCCACTCTACACGAT